TACTTAAATAATTTTAAATATAAAATTCAATTAGTCGTCTGCTCCAAATAATTTTTTAAAATTATTATACCTAATATATATATATTTATATAATAAAAATATATTATTTATTTATTTTATTTTATTTTTATGGATCAATATTTGATTGTTTTTAGATTTTTGTTTTTTTTTTTTTTGTTTGTTTTTAATACTATTTGTTTTAGTATTCGATTGTTAAAAAAATATTTATTATTATTTATTTTTAAAAAAAACGGGTTTGCCGGGTTGGCCCCGAACCCGGAGGATTCGGGGTGGGACGGGTCTCGAAACCTAATATTTTCTAGCGAGGTGAGTCTCGGGGCCTGCAGAACCCGTCCCGAACCCGCCCCGTTCACATCCCTATCCATAATCGTGAGACAATTTTTTCAATAATGGTTGGTAAGTATTGTTGGGAAAAATAAACTCAAGTCTTATATTAATAATAATAATAATAATTAATAAATTAAAAAATATATATATATATTAGCGATAAAATTAATCTCCTTCCGTTCCAACTCAAAATATTATTTTTATTATTTCATTTGTTTCACTCAAAAGTATTATTTTTCTATTTTAGTAAAATTAATCGTGCACTAGTATCAAAGTACTCTTAACTTTTATTTAAATTACAAATATATCATTACACATACAATTAATTTATACGTAAAGTCAAAAGGCAAAAATATCAAAATCTCTTACACATTTTCATTAACCAATAAAATATTATTATTTTTTAATCTACTATAAAATCTAAAATGATCCATTTGGTGTGAGACGAAAGGAGTATATAATTCTATGTAGAGTATGTTTGAGAAATAGCGTTCTGAATATGTTTTAGTTTATTTAACAACTACCCATCAAAAAGTTATTTATTTATTTTTTTGAAATAATTTATTGAAACAAAAACTAATTTTGAAAAAAAGTTGTATCTAGTACTACTTTCGTCCGGCTCTAAGAGTCTCTTATTTTTTGCGTGTTGATTTTTTAAAATTAATTTATATCAAAATATAGTACAAATTAAGAAAAATTGTAAAAATTTACATCAGTGTCTTATGATACTAATAGAATGACATTTGTAAAAAAAAATTATACATATATAAAGATATTTTTAATATTAAATACAATAATGCAAAAGGTAAATGTGATCCTTAGAGGCGGACGGAGAGAGCATAATTTTATGTATTCCTAATTTGTCCTTGAATATTAATCTTTCACAATATATATATATATATATGTGGGTAAATTGCATAATTTCTTTTAGTAAAAATATACAAAATACTTCATATTGTATTTATTAAGTAAAATATATTTTTATTAAATTAAAGTATGCATGAAACACTCTTTGTCCAAGGTTAATGTTTGGTTATAAATGCGCATCTACTTATGTAAATTTTATACAAATAACAAAAGTAAAATATTTTAGATAATATTTTTTTGAATAAAATTAATAAATAAATAATTTATCAATCATCCACTTACTAGTTTTTTTTGGAAATAAATTGTTATTAATTTTTATAAAAAATTATAAAGTAAAAGATTGATCAATTATTTATTATTTTTCATTCTACAAATAATATTTAAGATATTTGAATTTTTTTATTTATATGAAATTTGCATGATTAAGTGTGTATTTATACTCAAACATCAGTTTTTTTTTTTTTTTTTTTTTTTGACAAAAAATGATGTGTTACTTTAATTTAACAGAAGGGGTTTTAAGCACTAAAAAAAAAATATACAAAATATTTGTGTATTTTTACTAAAAATACTAGGGGATATTATATAATTTAACCTTATATATTACTCCTTCCATCCTACTTAAATTGTCCACTCTAACTTAGGCATAAAGTTTTAGGTATTGAGTAATTAGTAAGTAACTAAGAAGTATATTAGTAAAAATAATTATAATTTAATAAAAATAATTATAGATTAAGATTTAAAATAATTATAAATTATTAATTTTAAAATATAATTAAAGTGTATAATTATGTTTCCAAAAAGAAAATAACAAATTATGTGAGACGGACGAAAATAGAAATAGTGAACAAATTAAGTGGGATAGAGGGAGTAATATTTAAAAATATATACGCGAAGAATTTGTTCTTTTATATTTTATATTATTTTTAATAAAAAATACATTTTTTTCAATAAAAATATATTATTTTTTTTACAAAATATCTAAAAATAATAAAAGATATATATTCCCTGTCCCGTAGGAAGGTTATCGTTTAATTTTTGCACGTAGATTTTTTAAAATTAATATTATATTGAGTTGTAGTGAAAAAGATAAAAATATTCCTATTAGTATTGTGTAATACAAAAGAAATGACATTTGTGTAATATAATATAAGTGTGAAGGGTATTTATTATGTTAGTATGTAGTAAAATTGCTAAATTAGGAAATAATAACCTTGTTTTAATGCTATGTATACTTTTAGCTTTTATAGTAAAAAAAATACAAAATATGATTAAACAAAATAAAAAAATGTATATTTTACTAAAGAAAGAAAATAGACATATGTTTTATTACAAACAAATAAAGAAATTGAAAGTATTTTTTATGACAAAAAGAAGTATAATATATATAATTATACACAATATATAATATATATACTTTATTTATTTACAAAAAGTCAATAATGGAATACAAAATATTATTTTTTATATTATAGTACGATTTCTTATACCTAACATAAAAAATACATTCATTCAAAAATAAATAAAGATACTAATATCTATAAAAGGATGTCTTTTGAAAGATCATTTTAATTAGAGCTGGCAATAAATCATGTCAATTCGAATTGAGTTTTTAAACAAATTAAAGTATTTAATTTATAAATCGACCCATTTATTTAAACGGGTCAAAAATTTTGGTACAAAGTCAACCCGTTCAAATATGACCATCCCGTAAACGACTTATTATCCGTTTAATAATTTTTAAATAGATTACATGACCCGACATGAGCCCGGCCCGCTCAAATCCGACCCGGCTTGTATAAAATTAACCGTATATCCATTTAAAGATTTTTTAAAATTAAAAAATTTCACAAATATAACAATAACCAAATAATCAATTCAAAAGAAACTCGAAATCACTAAGTCCCAAACATTTACATACATACAAACTAGATACTCCCTCCGTCCCAGAAAATATAAGACTATTACTGTAGATACGAGAATTTAGGTAAAGTATAATTAGTAAGTAATTAAGAAGTGTATTAGTAAAAATAATTATTATTTAGTAAAAATAATTATAGATTAAAATTAAGATAAGTAAATAGTTTAATTAAAATTAAAGAAATTATAAAATTTAAAATTTAAAATGCGATTAAAGTTCATAATTATATTTTCAAAAATAGAAAGGACAAGTTATGTGGGACGGACGAAAATAGAAAATAGGGACAAATTATGTGGGACGGAGGGAGTATTAAATATATATTTCTCGAAATATTAAATATTTCACAGCTTTTCAATCGGCGCCGTACCATCTCAACTCCTCCCCGATTCTTTCCCGAAATTAGTACTCCCTCCGTCCAAGCTAAAAGTGTAAAATGATATTTTTGCCCTTACTTTTTTGGCATAAAAGTAATGATGTGATGTAAAGTAAGGGTATTTGTGGAAAAAATAGGGTATTTAATGAAATAGTTACTTTGTAATTGGACGTCCCAAAATAGAAATATGTATATTTCTGACCGGACGGAGGAAGTATATCTTACCCCAACCATTTAATTTGATTATATTATATATTAAACTCATTCTAAAATGAGGCGGCTAAATATTGTGTATTAATTGACAGCACAGGATATTATTTTTTACAATATATTTTTATATTAATATAATACAAGTATAACATATAAATTAACATTATATGATATAGTCTCACACAACATTTGCAATCATTAATTTTAATACATAATACTCCCTCTGTCCAATTAATAAGTATCCAATTACTTTTTACACGTAATTTTAGGTATATTAGTATTATATTGGGATATAGTAGAAATAAAGTAGAAATGACTAAAATAACTTGGGAGTATGTGTGATATAAAGGTAATGCCATTTGTGTTTGTAAGGGTATTTGTAATGTTAGGTAGATAGTACAGTTACTAAAAAAAAAAAAAAAGAAATGGATACTGGGACGGCTAAAATGTAAAAATAGATACTTTATTATCGGACGGAGGGAGTATATCATTTCTTATATATCACACGTTATAAATAGGTCAGGACAAAATTTTGGTGAAAAAATATACTAAAAAAATTTCACTGAAAAAAAAAACATCACTTTTAAAATGAATTTTCAATTTTAAAAATTTTCAAAAAAATAAGAAAGAGTCCAAATTGTGTTTTGATTTGTATTTGAAATACAAATCACATTATTCAACCGCTTATTGTTATTCTTTCTAGCAAATTATTATAATAAACATTATTTAAATGAAAATTTAATTTCATTAAAAAAAATTATTTTAAAATTTAATTTTTATTTTTTATTTAAACAATATGTCATTTTAAAAAATAATTAATAATCATAATAAAATTTAAATAATCATAAAATAATAAAATTAAAACGAGAAAAACCAAAGTCCTAATCATCTCTAACTCCAGTCAAAACTGTAACTACATATATAGCCCAGAGTAAGAGATCGAACCCAAATGCAGAGATCGAACCCAAATGCTGTGTTTGTTCAAATTTGAATTTAAAATTAATTTTTAATATAATATAAAAAATAAAAAATAAATATTTAATTTAATATTTTTAAAGAAAAAAATTTGTATTATGAATATAAATCCTTCTCAATCCTATAACAAACAAAGACACTTAAAACTTTCCACATCCACAACCCTACCCTTTTCCAGCTCAGTCATGTCCCCTTTTTTATTTTATTTTCTTTCCTTTTATTTCCCTTTTTTGCATATATTAATGTTAGACACGAGTCTTGTAATGAATCTCAGGCACAGTCGATTAGCCTACCCCGCAAGACCCCTTCCTTCCTTCCTTCCAGTACACTACCAAACAATATATCTATATCTATATTTATATTTATATTTATATCATTACCCAACTTTAGCAGCTGAATCAACAACACCACCACCAACTGCTTCGTGTCCATTCCATGTGTCCGATGCCGACATCTCTTTTGTTTCCAAAATTCCAGAAAACCCCATCTCCTATTTTGCCTCCAACAAAACCCCCCCAAAAACATAAATCAAAGAAATGAATCCTTTTCTTATGAACTGAAGCTTCATTAATGGGTTATTTCTGAGGTTAGCTTTCTCTCTCCTCTCGTGGGCTTCTTTAATTTTGCTTTCATTACAGTAGAACTACTGTTCATTGAATTGAATGAATGTTTTGTGTAAATTTTAGAGATCCCAATAGGTTCGTTGCTCGATGTAGTCAATTCTGTTGCTTGATTAATAAATTAAACTTCACGACAGCTATCGATTCCGTACGTAGATGTAAAGAAACAGTTAGGTTTTGTAATTAATGTGAAGTATATGTCGTACACATTCTCTCCATAAATCTCTACACGTTTTCTCGTGATCTAATAATATTGTTGCCCAATTATTACATAAGAAAAAGTAGAGTGGTTGGTGTGGTGTGTATGAAATTGAAATCTGTAAGATTGTGTAGAAGTGAGGGAGTGATTAACTAACTGACTGTAAGAAGAATTGAATGTAAGATTTTGTTTAATTAGTGACGTTGTTCATGGTTATATCGCAAATGTGGAGATGAATTCAATGGCTAATGTAATGTGTTTCTTTAATTTGTTGTTGTTGTTTTTGGATTTGAAGTTGTTTTTGGCTGTTGGAGCAATGGGGTATTGGATTATTTTGCTCTTTTTGTCATTTATTCCGGCGGCGATTCCGGCGGAAGATGCTAGAATTGTTGTCGACACAAGCTCGGCTGTCGCCGAAACCGACGATAATTATATTTGTGCCACCATTGATTGGTGGCCGCAAGATAAGTGTAATTATGATCGATGCCCGTGGGGTTCTTCATCCGTGTTGAATCTTGTAAGAACTTTTTTTTCCGTGTTTTTTTAGTCCAACTAATGTGTTAGCACCGTACTCACGATATATATATGTTTTTTTTTGGTTCTTAGGATTTATCTCACTCGTTTTTACACAATGCTATTCAAGGTTTGTCCGTATTTTCCGGTTTTAGGAACTATTCTTGGCTTTCCTTTTTTGGACCGCTCGGTGATGCGGCGTGTTATGCTTTTTCTTTTTTTGTGCTCCGCAGCTTTCGGCGCCTTGAGAATTAGAGTCGGCGGATCTTTGCAGGATCAAGTGATATACAATGTTGGGAACTTGACGTCTACTTGCGAACCGTTTAAAAAGGAGAATGGCGGATTGTTTGGATTTTCTAAGGGATGCCTACGTATGGAGCGGTGGGACCAGCTGAATAAACTTTTCGAGGACACAGGGTGAGAATCCGATACCTTTTACGACCCTCATGCATTGGTTAGTTTTTGTGTGGATCGAGCGAGCAACCTACTTGTGTTCCCTTAGTAGTTTTTATTAGATCGATCAAATGTTGTAAGATGGCAAGTCTATTGTTTTGTTATTTGTACAACACTCACTAGCTGTGTTCCTGCAGAGTTATTCCGACTTTTGGCCTCAATGCTCTATACGGGAGGCGGCGCTCTCAAAATAAGGTGTGGGAAGGGGAATGGGATCCGAGCAACGCTCGTGATTTTATAAAATACACTATATCCAAGGGATACCGCATTGACTCATGGGAATTCGGTATGGAATTTTTTTTTTTTTCGTTTTTTTCTTGTTTCAATTTCAAAAATATTGATTAACTTCATGAGCCAATTAACACTGCAAAGGCAACGAGTTATCCGGGCGGGGGGTGGGTGCCAGCGTCAACGCCGAGCAATACGGAAAAGATGCAATCCGTCTCAACAATATGATCAATGAACTGTATGCAAGTTTCCCGGCACGCCCCCGGCTCATAGCGCCTGGTGGGTTCTACGACAAGTGGTGGTTTAATACATTGCTTCAGGTCTCCGGCCCTCACACCGTAAACATTATGTCGCATCACATGTACACTCTCGGCCCAGGTCGGTTCAGTCAGTTCTTTGTTACTTACATTATAGTCACATCCTGAAACGCCCCTCGTCGCAGGAAACGATCACAACCTCTTGAGCAAAATCCTAAACCCGGACCATTTGAATAAAGCAACCTCAATATTCAGCAACGTTACCTCGACTATCCAATCAAATGGTCCTTGGGCCTCCGCTTGGGTCGGGGAATCCGGAGGCGTGTTCAACAACGGCGCTCGGGGCATATCCGATGCCTTTATTAACAGCTTCTGGTAACTTATCGCTTATGTTGTTTCTGAACATGTAATCTTGTTTACTTCACAAGTTCGAAACCATATACACAGGTATTTGGATCAGCTCGGAATGGCAGCGCGATTTAAAACCAAAGTATACTGCCGGCAAACTTTGATCGGTGGATTCTACGGTCTCCTAAACAAAACTACATTTGTTCCGAACCCCGACTATTACAGGTACGTATGTCTGCAATCTATTGTACAATGTTGTAGTTCAATCTACCCAAGCATGAGCTTTAAAATGTCGATGCAGCGCGCTTCTTTGGCATCGGCTGATGGGGAAAGGTGTGCTTGAACTTAACAGCTATGCATCGCCGCATCTACGGGCCTATGCTCATTGTGCAAAAGAACGAGTAAGATATTTTTCAGTCTAGTAAAATTTTGCGATTGCGTCGCTGATTAATAGTTATTTCTTCCTTATTACAGACGGGCATAACTGTACTTCTGATCAACTTAAGCAATGAAACTACATACAACGTCGAAATCATGTCAAGCAACAACCAAGAACTGACAGTGAAAGACAAAACCAACAAGAAGCAGCGTGCGAGGTCCTTTATCAACAGCCTTAAGAGATCGGTTTCATGGATTGGAAACAAAGCCTCGGACGAAAAATTGTGGCGAGAAGAGTACCACTTGACGCCGGAGAGTGGCGATCTCCAAAGCAAGACGATGTTGTTAAACGGGGAGCAGCTGCAACTGACTCAAACGGGAAATATCCCCAGTTTGGCTCCGGTCCTACGTGATGTGAAATCTCCGATCAGCATTGCTCCTTTGTCCATCAAGTTTGCTGTGTACCCTAACTTTGAAGCACAGGGGTGTGAATGAAGTGTGTGATCTATAGGTGGTGAATACATAATAACATACATGTCTTCTTTTTTACGATATTGATATTGACACCGAATAAAAGAAACCATAACATATTCTATGAATGCCCAATGTATGTTGTACCTACCATATTCTTCTACAAATGCATAATGTCCGTCGCACCTGAACAAGAGACCATTTCTTGCAACCGTAGCTAATAAATATCATTTTCTGACGGGCCAAGGATAATTCTCGGGGATTTCTCAAGTGAAAGGATAGAAGTTTGAAAAAAGTACACTGCCGAGGAAAATGTAAGCAATGCAGTATGCCCATATGAGATGTCCCAGCCTCTTTCCGACTCTAGGTGATGATATTACCCCTGAGGCAAACCAGTAAAGCGGAGGGCTAGCAGATAGGAATCGAGTTGCAACCTGAACGCGCAATATTAATGCATATTACGAAAGCTGTGAGAAGAAAGGAAGAATGTAATGGCAAAAATAAATTATGCAGAGAAGAAACAGAAACATAAGAACAAAGGCCTAATAAGAAAGAGTATTAGCTGTCGCCATTACTTTGATTTCACAGCTACAGCATGGATTTATCCCTGTTCGATTTCAAATGAAAAATCATTTTTCGCACTATTTAATCTATATATTGTTTTCTCTTTAAAAAATATTGCATTTGAGTCTCATTTTTCATTATAAAAAATAGCATCCAACAATATTTTCCATCTAAAAAATATAATCAATCAAAACACAAGTAAATGCAACAAGGAATGAGATATGAAACCGGGACTGACCTGAACATGCATCACAAAAAATGCCGTTGCAGCCATGACACCCAAGTGTATGACAAATGGAAGAATAATAACAGGATCGAACTGCAGTCTGTGTGCTGCTTCATGTCGTGAAGGCTGTTCGACCAAATTTTCGTTCTCAATAATTGCTTTCCTCCGTTTGAGAATCTTGTCATCTGGATAGATAATAACACTGATGAAAAATAATCAACTATATTCAACTAAGAGGAGAATCACATATACTTTGTGTTAGATATTGTTAGAAATATTATATGTCAATTTTGTATTTAGAATAGTGTAGAGACCTTTTTGTTATTTTAGATAGTTGGTTTATATCTTTAGGGATTATTCCTGTAATTATGTTTTTTGTCTATTGGAATGAAACGGGATTGCGCACTCTACACTTTGATCACTTGTCACCTATAAAGTTTACAAGGAAAGGCTTGGGAATTTCCTATTCATCATATATAACAGGCAATGAGGATCACAAGCACACACAACCAAATATGTGCCAGCACAAGAATTTGTCAGCCTCGGCATAAAAATGTATGATTTTTGTTTAGAGTGAAGTAATGAGAGCTCCAACAAGGCCAAAGGAAGATTAAACATCACAGATATCATACAAGCAGTCAAGTATATAACATACCACATCCCAATAACTACCACATTTAATACCGTAGCAGACAGTGAAGAAAAGGAAATGTATAATTTTATGTTTTTAACTACCAACCAGTAACGAAAGTTGCAACAGGGCAGCTGTGAGTGTGTGTGGAGATAAGTTTTTAATCATAAAAACTTTCAGAATGTGTAGGGGTGTTGATGGACATGACTAATCAACACAACTGCCACTGTACAGTTTAAAAGAAGCCAAATCAACACATTTGATAAAAAATGAGCTATAAAAACCAAGAATTGTTCGCTGAATTAAAGAGGCACATATATAAAGAAGCATGTGGATAAAATAGTTTACAGTTACTAGTACAAGCAGTAATGGAAATGGAAGATGCTGAAGAGATATATTTAAAAACATATTGTTTAGTAATATGCTTTCAATGTAAAAAGTCCGTAACATTAGTTTAACTAAGGAAACATGATGTTCTTTAGTTTGAACATAACAAATAAATTATGAACTTTAAGTCCAAAGGAAATGCATTATTTTAGGTCCCTATATTTAGGTCTCTACAATGTAATGATGAAGTTTGAAACCACTGCAAATCCAGGATGATTCACTTTTAAGTCTTCAAAAACAATTTCCTATAAGCCCACACTGTAATGGTTATGTTTGGTTGACCACAATTAAACATGTGAAAGCATCACAAAGACAACTTGTTGGCTCTTATTATTTCCACAGTAGGAAAGCACAATATATATATATATATATGTAGAGAGAGAGAGAGAGAGAGAGAGAGAGAGAGAGAGAGAGAGAGAGAGAGAGAGAGAGTCATATATATATATATATATATTAGCAGCTTAAAAGGAAACAGACCTTGCACTTTAGGAACATCCTCTGAAAAAACGGCAGTGCTTGGTTGTTCACCAGCCAACTCTTTTTCTTTTGAAGAAGCCCGAAGGCCAAGAGAGAGAAAAACCTCAGGCCATCGCTTAACATAGCAGGCAAGTGAACAAAGTGCTAGAGACAATATTGGTGATGCTAGAAGAAAATTGGGCAACTGTTTGACTTGAAAATATCTTAAGAAGCCAACTCCCCTAGCACAAGATAACAAACATCAGGAGAAAAGACAGAGAATAGAAGGCAGTCATTTGTCATCCAAATCATTTTGAAGAAATGCGCAGCAATGTGCAGGAAATTTTTATACCGCAACTTGAGTCAGTTTCAGGCAATGTGCAATCCTTGCAAATCAGCAGGGTGATGAAGCAACAACAGACATTGTGACTCTCAAGATGCAGGAGAAAACATAGTATGAAACAAAAAAATGACTCTTTAGAAGTTCCATTATATTTCTGTGGGATGTTGTCAACTACCAAGAAATCCTGACGGCATTAAGTTATCAAATTAAAGATGGCAAGAACACTTGTTCTCCTACATGATACAATAAAAAAAAATGGTACAGAAACATAAATCTTCACTCAGATAGACGTTAGCATATGAAGCAAACAACTGAATTCTGAATTGTATATATAATAGCCAACATTTGTACATACCAATAGTGGCTTTGAATATAATTATAGAGTAAAGGAAGTCTTGCCTTGCACCAAGGCCTCATATCATCCACAGAGCGGTGCACACAGATATTGAAGTAGCCATATGTTTGAAAAGAGATAAAGGGTGCAAAGATAAATAGAGTGCGTATTGCCCCACCCAGAAGAATCCTTGACATTCGAATCTAGCAAGCATAAGGATTCAATATTTATAGAACATAGAAAAAATAGAAAAAGAATAAGAAAATAAATAAATAAATTATACAAAACTAAAATATTTTTCAAGGCAACCAAAAGTGAGGGCCTTCAGTATATAAGTCCATAATTTCGAATTTTAGAAAAGGATCATATTTTCACATTACTATAAGTATTAACACTCAATCATATTGTGTTATTGCAACAATAAATTTTAGCCAAAAAAAAACTGTCTAATTATATAGCTATCTGAAATAGAACATAATTTCGAATTTTAGAAAAGGATCATATTTTCACATTACTATAAGTATTAACACTCAATCATATTGTGTTATTGCAACAATAAATTTTAGCCAAAAAAAAACTGTCTAATTATATAGCTATCTGAAATAGAACATAATTGCAAACTACATAAAGTAACCAAATATTAAAGATATTGCAATCGCACATATTCCTGTTCTAATAATTATTTCCTCACACCCTCCTCGCAAACTGAACGTGGGGTACTTTATTAAAGTTCAAAACTGGTGGTAGTGTAAATCAGCTACACAACAAAGTATAACTGAACAAACATCTCACGAAGCTAAAAAAACAGAGAGTAGCCGCTCAGACTGTCAAGAAGAGTGGAGAATAATAAAAGTTTTGAATTGAAATAGTTGTGTGATATGATATAAATAGGTGTTCATGTGATGTTTTGAATGTAAAATTAATTTTTATTATAATATAAAAAATGAAAAATTAGTATTTGATTTGATGTTTTTGGGGGAAAAAATTGAGTGAATAGTTAAAATCTTTGGAAATCTTCTAAACAAACACATCATTAATGTATATTTCATCTATGGCACCTAGAAGATGCAATAAGAAACATATACAGGAGAGACAATGAACAAAAGGCTTCAAAAGCATGACAATGATTATCTGGCATTAAAGAAATAAATAAATAAATAAACACTGACAGATAACTGTGTATAATGATCCCTAATCCAACTTTATATTATCATTCAGAAGATGTCAAACAGCTACATAACTAATAGGAGTTCCATACACCATGGTATGCAACAAACAGCCAAAGACAGGTAGAAAAGAATGAATTTACCACCAATCATCTTCTACATGTGCATACTCATGAGAACTAGCATAAATACCAGCAAACACAAGAAGAGTTTATATCAGAACCCACAGATAACAATAGAAACAACTGATTCCACACAAAAAGATGCATGTTTGCTCATGCTACTACTGTGGTTTTCAATGACAGCAGCAAGAGGATTGAGTTGGGCAAGGAGATGAAACCTAGGCGTGATATTATGTTAGCAATAGAAGACATTTTTCTCTATTAAATAAAGGGTAAATTATATAACACCCCCTTTTATTTTAATAAAAATGCACAAAACACCCTATATTTTATTTATTGTGTGAATCCCCCTCGTGTTAATGTAAAGTTTGCACGAAACATCCTCCTTGTCCAAAACTGATGTTTGGTTCTAAACAAAACCTAAATTACGCAGGTTTTATACAAATAAAAAACGTAAAAGTTTTTAAATAACTTTTTTGTATAAAACAAATAAATAAACAATTGATCAATCATGTATTTTTATAATTTTTGTAAAAATCAGATAATAATGTCTCCAAAAAACCATAAAATGAATGATTAATCAATTGTTTATTTATTTATTTTATTCAAAAAAATTATTTAAGATAAATTACTTTTTCATTTGTATAAAAGTTGCGTAATTTAGGTCTTTATTTAGAACCAAACATCAGTTTTAGACAAAAAGGGTGTTCGTAAAAATTTTACATTAACACGAAGGAGTTTCACGCAATAAATAGAACACAGGGTGTTTTGTGTATTTTTACTAAAATACACGGGGATGTTATATAATTTACCCTTAAATAAATTATCAAAACATTCTATCAATAAAGTGTTCTTACAACAAAAAATGTGAAAAAGAAATCCCAAGTATTATTAGAAAACTGTTACAAACTAGAATATAAACCAGAAACCATATAAATACCATATCTTTTAGAGAATGAAAATAAATAACTTCCTGAAATAGTACTTATTCCAAACACCATAATCTAGTAAGACAAGGATCTAAATCCTATGCTAAACCGCAACATTCAGCTGTGGTTCAGCATGTTTTATACTTGATTTAGAATATTATTTTATAGTTCAACATACAAACATAAACATGGTTCAAAAGTTCAACATTGTGCAAAGGTTTTACATGGTTTTACCATATTTTGCACATTGTTTAGTAGATTTCTTTTATGGTTTAGAAAATTTTCATACCACTCAACAATAAAAATTCTAAAATAATTGTGCATATGATCCGAACCTAAAAATTATTTTAATTAATAGAATTACAAATTTAGCTTGATATGTAGAACCGCGCATTATTTATGTTCTTTATTTAAAGGTTAATGAAATTCATCCCGCAACTAATTAGATGTTTTGCTTTCATCCTGTACCAATCATGTGAACTATAATGTGACATAGTAGGAGCTAACCTAGCTTGCCACATCAGCTCTGAAATTCTACATCTGCAAGCTAAGTAGCTTCAATGATACCACATTGTGTTACATACTTGAACATGCAATTTTCTAGTGAAGAACTAGAACATCAAACTAACTACGAGATTAATTTCCAACAAACTTCAAACAAAGGATAAAAATAAATAAGATACTGCATATGAAACTAAGAAAATGTGTATGTTTGATCGTGTTTTGGAATAGTAAAATTTTGAATCCTAATAATTATTTGATGCGACATAAATAGTTATTTGATGTGATACTTTCAAAAGATCTTTTTTTTGTATGTAATGTATTAAATGAAAAATAGATGTATGATATAATATTTTGGGAAGGAAAAAATTGAACTACAGTAGATAAAACAATGAAAACAGGGAGGAGAAAACACAACCAAACAAACCCACAATATTTCCAATATATAAAAATGGGAAAACAACACTCAAGAAAAGTCCCTATACAAAACTGGTTATGCAGAAAAACTTGAAAAAAGTGAATTTGAAAATCTTTCATGGGCAAAAGTAGCAGCAATGCCTGAAGTAGAAGGTAATGTAGCAAGTTTCCCAATCCAGGAGGCAAGCACTATAAATCTAGTAAGCATCAATTCGAATATTATAAATTAAGGATAAACATTAATTGAGGGGGAATCAACTTACAATACAGCATTTTCTAGAGCATAAAGTTTCCTTTGCTCGTTGCATTGTCCGGAAACAAAAATAGCCTGCGTTAAGCACCCCATTAGACCGAGCACAACCAGAGAGCGCAAAACAAAATGTTGCCCAGTGATCGTTGCCATTAATGAAAAAATTCATCCCTCCAAATGTTAAGAAAGCATACAGGCTCTCAGAATATCTGCAGATAATGTCAAGACAGCATTATTGCTTTAATATTTTCTGTACTAACACAAAAACAATAAAAGATCATGGCTGTCAGAAGATACATTGATGTGTAGAATATCGAAGCTGGATTAAAGCAAAACAAAATCGACGATCTGAATGCTAACTCTTGGTCCTTCAATACTCTAATTGAAAGTCTGCCAAAAATATGAAAAAACAACAATCACATGATGAGACTATAACATACCGTAGGATAGCTGGTGGCTCACACAGCTAGATTTGAATTAACACACATGATATCAGGTATAAACAAAACAAAAGGACATATAAATTAATAGTTTTTGATGAGGCTGGAAACTTACAGGTATAAGCATAATGCAGCAAAAACAAACACAATGTTATTGAGCACATAGCCAGATAATCCAAGCACAGCCCTGTATCCAATTAGAGGCACCAATGGAGCAAAAACTGCAAAGCATCATAAAAATCAAAACTGCTACCAACAATGGCAGACAGGATGCATTGCTACTTAGAAACTTCCCTTCTGTTACAGATCTTCAGACAATGAAAAAATAACCTGGTACGGTTGGTGAATTACGCCGCATATTAAACTAGAGCGAAACAATCTAAAATATTGGCGTTCTTAATTTTCATTCTTCCACTAGTCTCTAATCCAAACAGAGAGTAAGCATGTCCCTAAAAAATCACCAAGGACTATGAACCACTAAATCACCTGTTTTCGAGAGAAATGAAATGCAAAGAGGAAGCAGCGGCAAGAAAGCGTAGGTCTGCTCGTATTCATATCCGCACTCCGCAACGCGTACGAAGTACACACCATCCCACACAATGCTTCTCTCAATTGCCGATCCCACGCTCGGCAGGAGAACCTGCGCCGGATTTTCCGAATCGGCGGAAGAGAGGCACGGAGGGTTTATTGAAGCAGAGGTGTCGTATGGACTGAGAACAGATCGCCAGAGAATTATTAGAGCTAGTAACAGTACTCGAGAGGTAAATGCATAACGCAGGAGGCGGCGCCTGTCAAGACGGCGGCGGTCGTGGGCAGTCGTCGCCGCGGCGGGATACGGAGCCATTATGCTCGGAAAATGAGAACGAATCTGATGAACTTGGTTTTTTTTTTTTTTTTTTTTTTTTAATTTGGGACCTGGAGGGCCCTCTTGTAAACCCACCGAGTCGAACTTAATAGCCAAATTAGGCCCGACATTTTTTTTATATTTTATTTTTTACTACGACCAAAATTGTGTTTATTACTCCGTTTCGTTTCAATTATTTTCATTTTTTTTCTTTTAGTTTCACTTCAATTAGCACGTTATTTTTAATAAAATTTACTAAATTTATGCTTATTTAACAAATTTAAATGAATTTAATTAACTTAATAGAATTTTGGTATCCTCTGTTATACGAATTCAGGAGAATTCTGATATTTTTTAATATGTCTGGATCATTTGATTGGTGAGTTTAATTAGGGATATTTTGATAATTTACAAAATTAATCAAGAATATTTAATTTAATATATTTGCAAATAATTATTTTTCAAAATGGCGCATATTCAAAATATAATAACAAATGATATCTTTATAATATTATTATGATGTTTTATTGTGAAATGTGTAATTTACTTACATGATGTTCAAATAAATGCGTTATCTTAACTCACGGATTATTTATTATAACGGGATAAATTTAATTTTATGTTTCTTAAAATACAAGATTTCTTCACCATTATGTATATATGTATGATATATAACTTGAATAGACATGTGTTGATGCAATTTTTCAACAATAAAAAGTAAAATTCGAAAATAGAAATTATCTTCGAATTTGATAAAATAAATGACTGAGATTAAGAATCTCTAGACGCCGTAAGATACATAAGTTAAGTAGGAAAATAAATACTACAGACTGAAAAAGTAAAGTGATGATCCCAAAAACAATTCTCTTGAATTTGATGTCGATTGAAGATGGTTTCTTTAGCCATGAACAGACCTATTTAAAACCCATGTCAACCACCACAACCAAGTCGTGCCTTCATATCCGCTCGTCGGTTGTAACTTCCCTCAACCGTTCAAAACTACTTTTCGCCCAACCTGCGTACCTGCTGTTCCGTCTCCTCTTGTCCGTCTTCCACTTGTCTGACCTCCGCGTCAATCATCTCTTTACCCTATTTCATCTCGCCCGACCATGTCACGTCCGACCTCCGTGCCCGACCTTATCCTATCCGACCTCCGAGCCTGACCTGATAATGTCCAACCTCAGTGTCCGACCTTTGTCAGGTCCGACCTTAGTGCCGGACCTTGTCAGGTTCGACCTCTGTGTCCGACCTTATCACATCCGATCTCCGTGCCCGACCTTATCTTGTCTGATCGTTGTGCCTGACCTTATCAGGTCCGACCTACGTGCCCGACCTTATCAGGTCCGACCTACGTGCCCGACCTTATCAGGTCCGACCTCCGAGCCCGACCTTATCTTGTCTGATCTCTGTGCCCGACCTTATCTTGTCTGATCTCTATGCCCGACCTTATCAGGTCCGACCTACGTGCCCGACCTCATCATGAATAGCGCTCGGACTTATTCTTGGACCCATTTTTTCTTAAGGTCCTACTATTGTTAATAGGCCCATTAGACTCTATACCAATCCTTAACCCAATTTAATAGGTCGACTCTCGAAAACCCTACACATTGATATTTTCTTGCTCAACAACTTGTCTCATCCCGCCCAACTCCTAAGCGTCACTTCTCGAACTGTGTGAGACGTGACGTTTAGGGGTTTGCAGAACAGCGCTATCATTATACTGCTTCGCGTCATATCATGGGGTTAATGTAAAACCCTTCTCTCACTCTTTCAAACTCACGTATTCAGAATTCCGAGATCCTCCTCTGTTATTCCATCCAGCTTCCTCCTCCAAAAACCTCTTCCGCTTCGTTTTCTTCACTTCCTTTGAAAATGGCCAATCAGTATGTTCCTGATTTACCTTTCGATGGGACTAACCCATCGGTTTCCTTCGTGGCTTCGAGGGTCCTTACCCCTACCGTCCGCCCCTACTGCACCACCACCGAAGATGCCGATCGTATGAGATCCGTCATCTGTCAAGTTTCTTCAATAATCGTCAATGATGCTGCGTTCAAGCCGGAACGTCTTCTGGACAGCATCAGGACTCATCTCACCGATCCAAAAGATGCTTACCGTAAATGGTACGCGAGGCTTCTACCCCACTTTGAATAACAGTGGAAAAAGCAAGGCATCGACAAAGCCATCCTCCTCTCGACTCAGCCCTTTCATCTTCACGACAAGGCCCTACTAGCGATGCGGCCTTCTGGCATTCTCAGATGGGCGTCTTCTTCCTCCCCTCTGGCCCTATCGGCCCAACCCTGATGGATGTGGCCATCATCGCTCATTTGCCAATTGTAGGTGATGATCGTGTTCTGGTTTCTTTTGAGGGCCGAGGGCCTTCACCCGACCATGCCGGTTGGGCTTTCGCCAAGCTTCCTGAAAAAGAGAGAAGCTGGACCAGTTTTGTCAACAAATACCAGGGTAAGGAAGACACCCCTGTTTCTGAATTGGAACACACAGCATGCCTTCTTTTCTGGCTCTGCAGGTACACTTTCTTCCCTTTGAAATCTCTTCCTTTTGGAATCTCTTACATAAATTCGAAGTTGGATGTTTTGGTTGAACTTCCTCTTTCTTTACAGATGCATCATTCTTTCCCCCTCCAAGCTCGTCCTTTCTACTCAGGTCGATCTGGCCATTCAACTGGCTAGCGGTCATTTTTTCTCATTGGGAGCCCTCTTTTTGGCTAACTTTTTTGAGGGGTTAACCCGAGTGAGCACCCGCTTGACCGATATCAAGAAGGCGGACACAACAGCTTCGGGAACATTCTGGTTCCTAGAACTGTGGCTCCGTCTTTATTTCCCAAATGTCTTTTTTGGCCGACTTCCTATCACCCCGAATGCCTACAGGTCTATAGGTTATGCCTTGGCTAGGTTAACTCCTAATTCTTCTTACCTTCATCCATCTGATCCTGTCATCACCCAAATTTTGACTGAAGACCGTAGCAACTCCCGATTTTATGTTTACGAAACCCTTTTACAATATTCTACTGATCTTTTTTGGCTTCACCCCGACACACCTTATTCCCAATCGCATCCTGATCCCCTTCCTCATCCGACCTACCCCTTCTCCGGGGCTCCGCCATGAAACCCTGATCTCTATTTGCCAGTAAGAGGTCGGATAAGAAAAACCACAGATTATTTTATACTTTCAATTATCAGCCCCAATTTTTGGCCCGGCAGTTCGGCTGCTGTCAAGGCTTGCCGGGACCATTAGCCCGACCTCACCTTATACCTCAAAGCCCAGACGGGCTGGTGATCCCGGAGCTCATCCCGACCTACCTTTCCCAACTCACCGACTACATCACTTATAATTCTTACTTGCCTTTCCACCTAAAACCTTTGTCGGCCGAGGCCTTCCCCGCCTGGTGGTAGGCTACTTGGCCTGTGATTGCTCCACCGACCGACCAATTGGTTGGAAAACTTGCCCCGCCCCCAATCTTGGCGCTGAGTTCTCCTCGATTGACCACTGCTCCGAGAAGAAAAAGACAGGCGTCTGCCATAGGCGGATCCGGAGCAAAGAAACAGAAGCAGAAGGCCATCTCTGTCATTGATAGGCGGGCCATCAAGGAGTACCTGGCGTCTCTGCCAGTGGATAAAAGCGGGATGCCAAAATACTTGAGGAAACAATTTGGTACGTCTGTTTCCTTCCATGTTTCATTTTCTATGCAGGGACCTCTTAACTTTAATAGCTTCTATTCCAGAGGATCCTTCATTGCCGCCAACCACGGTCCCAACTGTCTCTCAACCGACTGGAACTCGGCCGACCATTACCCACCGACACTCATCCCAGACTCTCCTTCGCCGACTGCAGTTCAGCTAGCCGGTCCTCAACCGACCACAGCTCAACCGTCCATTACTTTAACTTCCTCTCCATCAGCTGCGGTCTCGATTGCAACCCAACCGATTGTCGCTACACCCACCAGGCCGCCCATGATCCGTCGGGGAGAGGACCCGATGGTGAGGCATCTGTCCTTGTCAACCTCTACCCTGATCGCCAACCAACTGATTGTTGTAACACCGACCTTGGCTGAGTGATCAACCGTCCAAGGTTCACTGGCCGAGGCAAGTTATTTCCTTAAAACCTTTCAAGGCAACTACTCGTTCAATTTTCTACTAACTTAAACTCTCATTTCTATAGGCCAACCCCAGCAATCCACCAACCATCCCTCAGCCGACTCATCTTCCTTCAGAAGAGGAGCTGCCAATGACCCATCGGCCGGAAGAATCGTCGGGGAGGCAAGCTTCTTCTCCACTGTTGCCTTCGCTTGCCTCGCAACCATTACAGGTAACTGCTAGGATCTTTCCATATGATTCTTTTATAAATCTCTGACTCTTGTATATTATTTCAACTAGGAACCTGATGTAGTTGCGGTCGTGCCCGAACCCGACCAGGATGCAGAATTGCCCGACCCAGTCGTGGCACCTCCTGACCATGCTGCTGCTACTGCGCTGCCCTTACAACCAGCCGCTCAGCCCGCGGGCGAGGTTCCTCCTATTGCTCCTCAACCACTCCAACCGATCCCACCGCCTCCCGACATAGAGGAGATCTCCTCCTCGAAGTCAGGCGAAACTTCAGTCAATTTTGCCCCAAGGGGTTCGGTTAGTATTCCCTTTCATCTTTTTCTAACTTTCACCTTTTCTTCCTTGCCTAACTTTCTCTTTTCAGGGTATGGAACTGGCCGTCGCTCACCATCTATAACCGGGAGACGAGTCGATTGCTGGCCCGACAACTCACCATGGTGCCCCCACGACGTTCCGACTCATGGCCCCTTCTGAACCCATGGCTGCTTTAAATCAGGTAAACCCCACCTTTATATTGTCATGAGTTCACCATGTCCCTTTGACTTAACATTTTCCTTTTTCCCCAAGCTGCCCAAGAGATGAACGTTTTATCCTGAGTGAACCTTCTGACTCTTGCCAGATCCATAATAGAGCGTTGTGCCGACCTATCTTTCGCCGACCTGAGTTTAGCTGACCTCGAGGCTTTAGTTCAGGTCGCGATAGATCTGTTGGTGCAGCTTT